CACACACACACACACACCCACCCACACACACACACACATACACACACCCGCGCGCGTACACATCATACACTCCTCCATTCTCTTATCCAGCCCTCACTCACTTGTCTACTCACGCACTCCTTCATTCTCTTACTGGGATCTTTACATGTGGGGTTATCCGGTCCTTTAATTTGTGCTGCTACAACGCGTCCTTGGTCTTTCAAAGCGTAAAACCCTTTCGACTCGCATCGACTCGCATGCTTCCCACTACACAAGTCTCGTAGCTGTGACCCGAGACAGATCAAGTCTTGGGCCGCATCTGCAGACAACCTGGGTTTCTCGGTTGTTTGAGTAATTGGGGTTTGATAAGGTTTCCAAGGTTTCCCCCTCGGTTTCGAAGTATCGCAGTACCACGAAGCATTGTATGGCACCTCCAGGGACCACCCTGTACTGCAACATAAAAGCTTTGCCGATACAGTACAAGGCGCTGAAATGACTCATATCAGCTTTCGTACAGGCTTTTGGTCCAAATGGGCTCAGCACTTGGGGCTTTGTGCGCTGCAGAGACGGCAGCAAGTTCGGAGTTTGGCAATACATCTCCGTCTCCTGAGCCCAGCATGCACACGACAGGTTTGCACTCTGGCGTGCGGCCTGCCACTCATCTACTCCGTTTTACTCCGTTTCCTTTCAAGGGGCCAGGCTGAGTAGATGCGTCACGGGAGGGAACTCGCCCGACGTGCAGTTCACGACGCAAATCTTTCGGCTTTTGTCCTGAGACACGAAAACTCAGCGACTGCTGTGTCGCTTCAGATGTCAACGTGCATCCTGCCCCTCTCACTCTGATCTGAAGCCTGTTCGTGGAAGAGCTTGGCCGCAGAAGCTAGACTGGCCTCCGCAAACGTGACCTCCGGCCGACACAGCTTGTAATCGCAGATGCATCAGAACATGTGCAGCAGCTTCGAGCTTCTGCGCATGAGCACCCGATGCCTTCGGCGCATGGTCAAACGACTGCAGAGTCTTGTCATGAAGCGCCTGATGAACTTCCTGGTGAAACATGGGGCAAGGATGTTTGCACCGAGCGTATTTAATCATGGCGCGACCCGGACCCTGCACTGGCTGTTATTGGTTCAATGCCTCAAAAGCCTTCACATGCCCACACTTTCCTGAAACGCTTTTACAGATCCTAGCCCCGATGCTCGACTTCAGCCCCAAGTGTATTTCTTGCCGGCAGAGGATCTTTGTAGTGGACCTGAGCTGCATCAACTTAGTCTATATGAACTTAGGACTTGTCTGGGACGGAGGACGTGCTGGCAAGTGGAACCTGCTACAACATGCTACACAGTTGCTTTGCGTGACACCGGGACGTCGATGTGATCGCTTCGCGTTAGGAGATCCTGGTTCGCCCTCCAGATATCCTGCCCAGGACACTGCATTTCCGGAAATCTCCAGGTCCAGGTTTTGCCTCCACGAGCTCGGAGATCATCTTGTTCTTGTGGGTTTCCTACGAGTAGGGCATTGACAGGCACGGCATTATCGAGTCACGTGCCATGGTCAAGCTGTAGCCCAGCTGCAGTTCTCTCCGCTCTTATGTGCTGCAGCGGACGCTTGAACATTTGGAAGCCTGAGCACTGTGGCACGACAAGGATCAAAAGTGAGTACTAGCATAGTTGTCAAAGGTACGCCGGGTCTTGTTGGCAGAATCAGCCTCAGGAGGAAATTGATTGGAAATCGGCTTCGCATGTATTACCTTCTTGCTTAGCACCCAGACCCTGAGTGCAAAGACTAGGACTTTGCAGACCTGAAGCTGCCTCACCATGGCCTGATGCATCTGAGGCACATTTCCACTGTTGACTCGATGAACGTGGCCTTCCTCAGGTAGTGCGGATGTTGCAAAGTTGGAGCCCGATTGCCACAAAACTTCTCTGGTCCTGGTCATCCGGATCTGGCTCCAACTGTGGGAGTGGCTTGTACCAGGTTCTTTCCTGAGGCTTCGATACCTTGTAGTAGAAGTACCGGTTGACCTCGCCCATCCCCTAGCCGCCCTAGCCCTCCCCGCTGCTCAATTCTGTGTCCGAGGGTGGCCTGCGGTCGCCGGTCCAGCACGGCCCGCCAGCCGTGAGGCAGGTCCGTAGGCTTTGGCGGAGGCTCTACTGAGTCGTCCTGCACCAAACACATGCAGCAAGCTCGTGGAAGGTCTCATGCGGGCCCAAGCTCGGCTTCCAGTCTCCTCCTGAGGTGGCTGGTCCGGCAGGTCGATAGAACAGCCGGCTGGTCTGCTCCAGCTGGATCTGCCGGACACCTGCCACAACACTTTTGCTTTTCCCGAGCTCCCGAAATTCTTTTCAACCTCGGCCTTGTCCAAGTAGTAGTACCGCTTCTTCTCCGGACTCCACTCATACTCCCACTCCGCACCGGACATTGCCATGTCCCCGTCAGCAGCCGGAGATCTGAACGGCCCAGGAGCAGCGCGCAGGAGCAGCGCAGGAGGTCCATGATGCTTGAGAAATGTTTGCAGGCAGGTTTGGAACAGATCACGGGCCGTAGATTCAGCACTGTAGGCGCAAACATACTGGTGCAGCTGCCCCGGCTGTGTTCTGCATGCTTAGCATCCTCAGCACGAGGCACCGTTGGGCTGCGTCCTGAACAGCAACAAAAGAACTGACAGAAACCAGCCGCGACGAGACAGCCCGCACACCTTCCCCGCTCCAGCGGAAGTACAGCCGGTTCGAAAGCACCACCTGCAGCCCGTTTACATCTCCTCTCCCTGTTCTAAGACGCACAAACATCCTGCGGCCCGTGCGCTTGTGACTGCGTGGTAATGCTGCAGCTCACGTGCCACTGGACCCTCAAGTCCTGAAGTCCATCCAAGAACAGACACACCCAGAAAGGTATTCACAAGATTCAAGTTCTTGCATGCCTTGGTTGGTCACCGCAATCAGAACCTTGGCCTCGGCAAAAATCTATCCGAATGATGACTTCAAGAACCGAAATATCAAGCCGCCAACTCCGTCTTTCAACCAGGCATCTACTTCGGCCAGCCTGCTCTGGTCCTTCCAGGCTGCTTTCAGGTCCCTAGAAGCCCACACTCAGCTTACAGTGGAATGCAGAGAGCCTGAACGTTACTCGAGATACTGGAAGTTTGTTCGGCCTGCTTGAGCCTAGGCCGAGCCACACTTTCACAGGCTTCCTGGGTAACTGCGACATGCCATCCAAGATCTGTGTGGCGTACTTCCGCCTGGTCACGCGCAGTGCCGCCTGGATTCTGCGGCGGCGCAACAGAAACAGTCAGCAGCCTGCGTATGGACCTATGTGTGGTCTTTGCAATTCTGGGCTGCCAACTAGCAGGCACATGCCGAAGCGGGCAGATTGCTTCCGTGCGCAAGAACCTTGACCGCAAAGGGTCGAGGCCTCGTCAAAGCCGCCGTCCGCTCTAAAAATTTCTATCGATGCGCGACTCAAGAGGTGGGCCTGCACTTGGGGACGGCTGCGATGGCCATGTCCATCCTGAAGACACGATTCCGCAAACATCTACGTGCTCAAAAGAGAACAGCACTGACGAGACAGGACAACGTTATCATGCAGACAGCGACCTCTTCTCCTAGTTTCTCGCACTAGTAGCCAGTTGGCACCCCTCGCCTGGATCTGGCAAGACTGACGGCACCGGAGCTCAAAGCTGGCGCAGCCCCAACTGGGTGCAATCATGAGCGCAAGCACCCCATCGCGACTTCTACATCATCCTGCATGAGCCTGGCATGTCCTGCAGCACCGCTGTCAAGTCATGAATGGAACCAGCTTAGTACGCTCGCTGCCACCAGCCGTTTGCAGATTTTCTCGCTGGGCACCGATGCAGGGGACTTTTTTCGGGTGGAAACGATGAATGGCAAAGCATGGCAGCAGTCATTCGGTCTTCGGCTCTGCTGCCTGACTCCAACACCGGTGCAACATCACAGGTTGACAAGAATCTCAAGCAGCAAAGGCACGGTCTTCTCCGGTTTTTGCAGCGACCGCTCCAACGGCATTATCGTTGAGGATCGAACCTAGAGTTGCAGCTTGGATTTATGGTGATGCATGCTCATGCTTCAGCGAAGGCAAGCAGCCGTCTAGACAGCACAGCTTAGACACCAACATAATTCATGGCAGCCGCGATGTTCACAAGCGCAACAGAGAGCAGGACTACGTCCCAACCTCAGAATCTCATTGCTACCTCTCAGAATCGCACTGTAAGGCTGTTTCTCTCTCCATCAACCAACTGGCTCGATTGGATTTGATGCGACCGAGCTCTCTGCTTTGAAAATTGTGAAGTAAGAAAGCAACGAATTGTGGCCCAACCTATATCCGGCAACAGGGGCTGAGATACCAGAAGATGACAGTGAATAAGGCCTGAACCCAAGACGCAACGGTTCCAAGAGTATTGCCATATCCGCTGATGACCTCACAGGCGATGGGCCAACCGTGCCTCGTTGCTTCAGGCACAAAGAGGTTCCAACCCCAACGTACTTTTCGGTGATGTCCAGATAGTTCGCCTGGCGTTCGACAGTTCGACGTCGAAGACGATGCGAAGCTGGATCACACCACAGGGCCTTGAACCCGCATGGGGCTAGGCCGAAAAAGGCGTTTGCAGCACTGCAGAGTGCGGTGCTGACCCACCTCAGTGAAGGCTTTGCTGTAACCAGCATCAGAAATTTACGGACCGAGTTGGGCCCCGACGGGTTGTGACCACGCAAGCGGTATACCTTCACAAGCCGAAATTCTGAAACGCCGTGGCACGGATGGCTGTTATCAGTGTCTGCTTGGGGCTGGCACAGGCAGCAAGCAAAGAGCGGCCAGCAAGAACCCAGATGCAGTGAAAAGGCGTCGCATTGACAGCAGGCTGATACCTTTCCTGCAGCCCAGAGACGAAAACAAAAGTCACACATATCACGAAGAGGGTTGAAGAGGGCTCGGGATCATGGATTTGAATGCCACCTAAGTCACATAATTACTTGGGAAAAACAAGACCCGACCAGCAAGGTCCTCTCAACGAGCCTCACGAGCAAAGGATTCCTGGCGAAGGCGCAGATACAACCCTTGTGCAAGCTTTGGTGCAGCCAGGACACACTGATTTGCAGACCAGGTTTGTCACATGTGGCAGCATGAGGTGGTACTTTGCCTGAGTTCAACGCACAAAGCACGAAAGCAGCGGAAGCCACTGCTCCCCGTGCCTGCTCTGGTGTCAGCTTGAGGACTTCACTGTAGTAGGTCGGGCCTTCCGGACATGTTGCCGGAAAAGGCCTGACTCTCAAGATGCACAGTGCAATAAGGCCATGGCTCCAGTTGGTCAGGTAGTACCTGGCACCCCACAGGCTCTTCCCTCTGCATCAGTCCACATCGAATAGTCTTAGTGCTTGTGCTCCACAGCACTACTCATCGTCACACGAATCGCATCTACGTATGACGGCACGCGCCGTAGTTGAAAGCAATGTGGGCCTCAGCAATCCGGCACTTGTGGCAGGTTTAGCTGTTTCTCTTGTGACTCTCAGGCTGCAGCAAAGAACACAGCCCAAAGGCTTTGATGCAGCCCCACAGCCAGAGGCATGCCCAGAAGCCCTGGTCCTGAGCATCTCCAATGGTTTCTGAAGAGGATGTTGCAGGTTTCAATTATGGACAGCACCGTCTTGATCTGGCTGCTGGCCTTGGTTTTTTTTCCAGACTTTCGGATTCAACACGGCTGATGCAAGTCGGGGCTTGGCCTTGGCTAGGCTTCTTCTCCCGCTTCGGAACATTTGCCTGGCCCCGCACGGGACGGCGAGGTGAAGCCGGGCAAAGCTGAAGCGACCTCCAGGAAAGCCAACTCTTTTTTGGAGATGTAGAAGCACCTTCGCAGTTCTGGGCTAAGGCAAGAACGACTCGGAATCCACGCACAAATCAAAAGCAACAGGCTTCGTTTTTGCACATCCGGAAGCTGCTCGTGATGGGTCCTCGCAAGTGCAGCAGACCAAAGGCTTCCTCCAACACCCAGGGCCACTCGGGGACAGCACGGCTGGCAGTCTTCACAATCCACCATGTCTTTGAGCCGAACCCGATCCTCTGGCAGCAAATCTTCCCCGGCCACTTCTTCTAGCAGCAGGCTGCCATGCCAGTCTAAACAGTGGCCGCATGGTGACGGTTCCAATGCCTGTACATACATCCAAAGCAAATCCGGGTTTACTTTGGCCATCTGCTGAAACAAGCTCCATGCCAGCGATCGCAAGCGGTTGGCAGCCGAGGGGTTCGCAAACTTGATCGCCAAAGCGATCAGCTGCAACGAAATGCCTCTCACCAAAGACGAATCTCCTGCCAGAAAGACAAGCGTATCGAGCGCCGCCCATTGCATTTTCATTGTAGACGACCACTCGGGCGAAATCTTTGCGCACTCAGTCGTTTTGAGACCGCGCCAAATGCCAGGCCAGCACTCGCTGAGAAACCGGCGCTTGATGAAATCACCCGAGAGGCGGGCCATGTGCTTGAGAAGGATGCAAGCGTCCGCCAGTGCTGCCATCGCAACGCCATCAGAAAAGGAGGATGTCACATGTTGCCAGACGCTGTGCACATGTGGCAACAGGTCCTTCACCCGCGTTGAAAGAACCGTGAGCCCATGAATGACAGCAACATGAGCCAAATGACGAGGAACGGCATCCGGAGACTGCAGGAAATGCCTCGCCCACAAGACGATGCTGGCAGCGACACGACGTTCCTGATCATATCTCCCTGTGGCTTTCCGGCATTCTTGTGCAGGCACTTCTCGCGCGGTCTCTTCATTCTCTTCCGTGTTCTCTTCTGCATCTTCATCTAGATGCTGGCCGAGGTCATGGAGGAAAAATCCATCACGGCGACGCGGCGGCTTCCATGGAAGGAGGACGCCAGAAAAGAAAGAAGAGACCGCCGTGGCGGCTAATTTGGGCTGAGAGATATCCTCTGACCGGAATCGCGACCCTGCTGTTTCCAGTCGCTTCTCGCATATGATCAAGGCCAGACGTTGAACAGCACAGGCAAGGATGCGAAGGACCCAGAGGGACTTCTCACTCGTAGACACCATCGTCAAGAGTGCATGAACCACATCAACCAAGAAGGGAGTCATCTCCAGACCTCAAGCGGGACAGCCCACTTCGTCCCCAGTCAGCTGCCAGACTCTGCAAGTGAGCTTCGACAACCGAGGAGGCGACTGGAGTGCTGAACAACCGCAGTTAGCAACAGTGGAAGGGACTGTTGGCCACTGGTTCCGAAGCGAAGCTGGAAGCACACGTCCCCCGCCAGGTAGTCCGCATAGCTGGCCAGCAATGCCCCAACCTTTGGCTTCAAGCTACAACACACGTGCTAGCATCCATACGCATTCATACCGTCAGAGCTTCGTTTTCTGTTCGCGGGCTGTGTCAGGCGGCCTTGCAATCAGATGCCTGCAGTGATCCTTCTTCCACCAGGAGCCCGTGCAGAGTGCTCAAGGTACCTCTGTTGCGGAAGCTTGGGCTCTGTGCATGTCTCTGCACATCTCCTGGCCGGGACGGACGCAGCCGAGCGACCATGGCTTGCCGTGGAAATCACCATGGACGCATTGGCCAGGTCTTCCAGGAGCGGCTTCAGCAGCCTCTTCACCTTCGGGCGAGGAGACAGGCCAGGGCCCAACACCTTCAACGACTTAGGGAGCAATGCCTTCCCCGCCTGGCGGTGAACTGGCTGCCCGGACAAGGCGAGGGATCGCATAGCAGAGACCATCAAAGCATGTGCACAGAGCACTTGCAGCCTCGAGTTGCCAAGTAGAAATCCGATCAAAAAACCCTGCAATGTTCTGCGGCTGTACAAACTTACGATCAGCTGTGTCGGCAGCAGTCTGCGCTGAGCCGGGGAGCCTGGACTCCGGGCAGGCTCCACTCAAAGCGGGTCTTCTGCCGGTGAGTCCAATGCAGAGACTCTGTATGGCCAACCATGCTGGAGGCTGCGTAAAGGCTCCAGCTTCACATGCATCGAGAAAAGCAGCCAAAGCGAACATAGCTGCAGTGCGCCTTCGTGTCGGTCCATCCTTCGTGCTTGCCAGCTGGCTTTCTGTAATCGCGTGTGATGGGAACAAAGGGAAGGGGTCTTCAAGCGTCTGCACTTCCACCTGCCAGCCGCACTCTGCATCTTCTGCAATCAAGGCCATCATGCCTTCAATACCGGCCACCCTGCCCAGTCTTCCTAGCACAGTCTTTAGCTGCCGCGCGAGACTCACATCACCTCCGGCCAATTTCATAGCTCGCAGCAACCAAGTGTGTACCTCTTGCTGTGTTGATGGCCCCATGAGCTCCCCAGCATCAAGCCGAGCAGAGGTTTGTCCAGCCATGCTCATATCGCCTATATCGTAGGGGAACAACTTGACCAAATGCTCTGCATTGCTTACGGCACTTCCAGGCACTGACGTAAGTGGCCTCTCGTCTCGAAGGAGATTCTGCAAGCTAGAAGCCTCAAGACTCGAAGCCTGAACTGCCGACTCCAAGACTTGAGGCACGATGGCAGCCGGAACGGCTTGCCAAGCTATCTGCCCAATCCCTCGTTTCATCGCATCTTCGATGAACGTTAGCAAACCAGCCAAACGGGCAAGACGTTTGGGCACATGTCTGGCACCCTCTGATTTAGAAGATGCCGAAGAAAGGTCCGTGGCAAGCTTGGCCAGCCACTCAACGACTCGACCTCGAACCTGCACGGACGGCTCCTCACCGAACCCGCTGGAAAGCACTTGAAGCATAAATGCAGTAGCCGCCTCCCGCGCAGCTTGCGACTCATCCGACAAGCCGGCCAGAACGACTTCAAAGCAGGCTTCCACAGCTACGCCGGTGACACTTCTACCGCAATTCTTCAAAATCGTGGTACATAAATCCAGAAATGCAAGTCTAACTGTTGGCTTCTCAGCCCACAAAGTTTCTGCGGCAACTTCTGCCTGCCGCAGAACAGCAACCAAGGCTTCTGAAGTTTGGAGACTGGTCTCCTCCAACCATGCCGAGTTTCGATTCAGCTGCGGCAGCACAGTCTTGCTTCGGGTTCGGGGCGGGAGCTTGATCTCCCTTACAGGCGCAATGTCCGCTTCACCATCGGTGTTGTGCTGGCGAAACAACTCGGTGAGGGTCAAGGGCGTCTGCTTGTGTGCCGCAAACAGCTCGGAATTCGGTGTGGTTCCCAATACAGCACATATCCATTCTCCTAAACATCTGCAGGCGAGAATCACAATCTTGAAACCTACCTTGAACTCCTTGCCTGCTTGGAGCAACAGTTTTACAAGAGCTGTGCAAACCCCAGGGTAGAAGTTGGCAAGCACATCTGCTGCAGCATCTGCCTCTGCCATTGCGTGCAAAACCAACACACTTGAGATTATCTGGTCGCGAGACGGTCGGCCCTTCGAAGAGATGCCTCTGCTGAGCAGTTGAACTGCCAAGTGAGCCAGATATCCGAGCTGCACGTGAGGCAGTTCGCTGTTGCCGCTTGAAACGTACCAGCCGGCGATAAGAACCCGAGATGCCTTCAGGATTTGCAGGACCATCTCTTCTGACTGGGCGGTCCTGGGGGAATCTTCCCTGAGCAGATCCTCTAGCAGAGCCAAAAGTCGTTCGCAAACCAAGGGAAAAACACGTTGCTTTCTCTCGGAGAGGTCACCGTTTTCGCTCTCCAGCAAAATCAACAGCAGTTTGAGGGTGTCCTCCAGCAAGCCAGAGCACGGAGAAGGACGCTCGGAAAGCCTCGCAAGGACAGGAGCCAGCACCTGGTCGAACTGAGAAGGTGAGGACAGAAGCGGTGGTGTCAAGGTCAACAGCGCTTTACAGGCATCTCTGGCCACACCCGGATCTGGATCACACATCTGTATGCATGCGCTGGCCATGGCTCTCTCCATTCAACTACACTAGCAGACTAGCATCTAGGCCAAACAATGCCAAACAAATGCTCTTCACCCACAGGATCCGTTAGCTATGCCTATTCCGCAACTATGACCCACTCAGAAGGCTGCAGCGATGCCGTTTCACACAGACATAATCTTGGTCAGCTCAGCTTCCAGTGCCGACCTGGCCGGCTCTTCTGCAGCAAGAACCTGCGCAACTCCAACAAGGCCATCAACAAACAGAAGCTGAAAGGACTTGTGCAGAAAGTTCGCTGCTTGTAGCTCGTGCCTACACCCCTTTAATATACTTTAATGCATGACTGCTCACACACACCGATGCATCAAGGCGCCGGCTTCTGTTCCCATTCGCTTTCCAGCATGCAACAACCCCCACCATTCTGCGCCATCGCCGACCCCAAGAGCACCCACAGCTGAGGTCGAGTTTGAATGTTTTTCAAGCGCGAACTGGGCTGCACCGTGTGGTTGTTCTTCATCATCAACACTTTCCGTGGCTGCTCTTGGTCGAAGGTTGTGGTTTGCGGTGCAGAAATCGTAATTCAGATCCCTCAACTGAGACCATGTATGCGAGAGCCACTCTGGCACTGACCTTTCTCCAGCCGAGTTCAGCCCGATGGATGCATCGCATCGGGATGTCTGGCATCTTCCAATACCCATGCCCGAAGCGGTCGCTTTGAACTTCATCATCGCAAAACTGAAACCCCTTTGCAATTATGTAGAGATACCATGATCTTCAAGACCACCACCAACATGACGAACTCTTGGCTCTGACTGCTCTGTGTGTCAATGTCGTCAATGCTAGCAAGAAAATCTCGAGTGCCTCGCCTGCCAAAGTCCGACAAATCCCAGGCCTTGGCTCAGTGCAACAGGGAAGCACAGCATGAGTCAGGCTTGCACCCAGGATCCAAAAGCCGTGCACTAGCTGCGCTCGGTGCGAGGCTAGCAGCACCAATGCCTTGGTACCTGGTAAGCAGATGTCAGCGACCAGCACATCTGCCTCTTTGCTTGGGAGTCCAGGGCTGCAGCGCAAGGCGCCATCCAAACGCAGCTGCCAAACTATTTGCCTCGGCTCAAGCTGATGTGAAGATTGTCTCAAACAGCAGTCCCTACGCAAAAGCCGGAGAAAAAGATTTCTGATGGAGCAGTGAAAGCGAACCGATATGCCGAGCGCACAAGGGACCAATTACGCATTACGTCTTCTATGGCGGCTCGGGCTGTCGAACCTGTTGGCCGACATGTGAGAAACCACATCAAATTCGTATGAAGCCGCATCACCTCATCCATCCACCCCTGCATCCACCCACTCATCCGTCCATCCGTCCATCCATCCGTCCGTTCTTGCATCTATACGTCCTTCCATCAATCCTTCCATCCGTGCGTCTATCCGTCCACCCACCCACGATACACTATGCATCCATCCCTCTATCTGTCCATCCACCCATGCATGCAGTCTTCTGTTCATCCATCCGCACATCCGTCCATCCATCCAGCCAGGCAGCCAGCCATCCATCCATGCATCCATGCATCCATGCATCCATCTGTCCGTCAGTCACCCATTCACCCATCCATCCTACCCACCCATGCATCAATCCATCTATCCATCCAGCCATCCATCCATCCATCCAGCTGTCCACCCACCCGACCAATCATGTAGAGGCGCAAGTCAGCGCGACCGAGAGACCGAGAGTGCCGGAGGACGCGAACTCGCCGGTATCACCGATGGACCGATGAGGTAGTTGAAATTTCGCAGCCAACAAGAGGCCAAAGTCCAATTTTGAGATGCGTAACGACTCCCTGCCCCACGCGAAGAAGGTATTACTGAAATTTGATAGGGCCAACCTCTCAAACACCTCACATCATGTCACACCATGCCATGCAAACTCACCACAACCTAAGGGGGACATCAACACCATCACACCATACCAGCCAAAGCACGTCCATGGAGAAAACCCTCGCCACACCTTCGGGGAAAAAGAAGCCTTGCCAGTCTGTTCCTTTATTTTCTTCATAAGGACCTGATACGAGTAAGGGTTGAACAAAGTCTATTTGAGGAAAAGCACAGTTCCCTTACAGCCCGCCCGCCACACCCCCGGCCCTGAGGTGCCTTATGAAGTCTACGGCTACGAGTTCATCCTCCTTCTGCTACTAGTAGATGACGTCATCGCTAGCCGGTTCAAGTCGCCGTTGCTTCTTGGCCAAGGTTGCACGTGTCAGAGAACACTTCTTGCGTGCTGCCACTGTGCTGCTGCAATTCTGCCGTACAGTGCTACCTCTGACTGAAAACCTCGGGGTGCCAGCCACAGGAATGACAAACAGCGCTCCTGTCACAACATGTCACAACCGTTCTGTTTAAAGAGCGCAGGGCTTGCGGCGCCGCTTCTCTTCTCGGTGGGCAACTCGCGATCACGTCGCCGATCTGCTCATGCAAAAGAGCCATTCTTTGGACTCTGACAGCAGCTCGTTTGGCGGCCGTCTTTACTATACACAGAGGCGATGAACACACCCCACGCTCACTCAAGAAGCTCGGGGTCAACAGTCAATTCTTGTTTCAACTTGGCAAACACGGCGGACTCAGCACCGATCGTGTTCACGTCGAATCGCGCATTATGGGCATCAGTTGCAACCTGTTCTCGCAGATGCCTGGCTCTGTACACAGCAGGCTTGCAGGGCGCCGGGGGAAGAACGGCCTTGCGATTCGTCAGCGTCTTGCGAACATCAGGAAAAGGAACCAGCGGTGGAGGCTCAGATAAGGGGGCCAATCGATCGCTGGGGCCCATGTAGCGCCGGGCAAAGCCAATGAATGCTTCAGCTTCGTCCATGGGCGCCTCATCTGCCACCTTGATGTTCAAGACTTCGTAAATACTAGCAGCAATTGGAGGCGGAGCCGAACGGACGTAGCGCAAGGCCCTGTAGTGTCGAGTCGTGGACTCCAGACTGTCCAAGAACTGATATAAGCTAGTCAGGCAATACTCCAGGAGGCCATGCAATCGAAGAACGCCTTGGAAAAGCATCTCACACCTTCTCTCCACGACATCGGCACGGAGATGAAGACCTTCACTCCATATCGCCAGAAACGCCCAGTCCTTCGTTGCGAGATCAGGCGAGTTTCTGAAGTGCAACTGCAAACACCCCGAGCTGAACGCCCTGTCCTTGTCATCGATGTCATCGAGCCTGAGAGGGAGCCGCTCCTTCCTTCTCTTACACCCCAGCTGAAAGTTAGTCTGATTTGCTGCGTCTCTATTGAGGCAGGGATCATGCTCACCAAACCCTTGACCAAGAAGTCAAAGGTTATGCTGCCTTTGCCATCCTTGTCAAAGAGGCGCATCAAGCCTGGCACTGTCTTCAATCCCTCTGCCGACTCACAGCCTCAGGCGACAATCATGACGGAGTTGCTCTCAGCATCAAGGACGGGAACCTCCAGGTCTAGCAGCGTCTGGCGGAACTCCTGCTTCGCGAGCAGACTTATCTTCAACCTGTTGTCCCGTCCCAGAAGTCACAACATGCTCCCAACATGTCTTCTTCTCTCGCGTCCATGCTTGATTGCCGTCTGTGCGCTTCTTCGCCACTGCCGAAAGGTAAGTCGGGCAATAAAGGCTGGATCGAGGTTGGCTTTGCACACGCGGCATCAAGACACCACTTAATCTGTCATCACCAGCATAGAGTACAGGCTTCAAGGGTGTCCCACTACCGGAGATCCCACCTGCCGCGCGTAGGCGTGCGTTCGGTGTCATTGGTTCGGCTCCGCCAGTTGATGCTACAACGTGGGCTCCGGGCTGTACGGGAAAGTAAAGAAGGCCCAGCTCCCAATCGGCTCCACCTCTCTCTTTCTATCTCTGAGTCTGTTTTGCATCTGGTCCCCATGGATGACAGCCGGAAAACATGCAACAGCCCACTTCCTGCCCTCGAGATCAGGAGGTGCCTCGTTTTTGAGAGCAGCCGCTACCTCGCGCTCTGCGAGCTGACCGTTTCCATCCTAAGGGTCTCAGCACGAGGCTTCGGGAGGCTTCCGGAGGCTTCTCGGCTTCGTAGAATGGATTCCCGGACCGCCTCGTCCATGAGCCGTAGCAATGTGCGTGCTTTCAATCCCATCTGCTGCCGGTTTTCGCGCTCCACCTGGAAAATCTAGGTCTGTGTGGCCCAAGTTTTTCAAGCATAGCGGGGCACTGCTTGTCTGAGCCTCGCGAGTTGATGTCTCTAGGATCCGGGAGGTCTCGAGAGCATCCTGCCGACCCGATCCATTGTGCAAGCTTGGCAAGACAATCGCAGCATCTGTCCTGTACAATGTTGGCGACGACCTTCCATCTTTGCAGCAAGACGGCGGCCGCACGACCGTGACTCAAAACAACCTCTTGCAGCCGCAGCCGCCGACGACAGTAGACCGAACGTCGTAATCAGAAGAAAGAACCCAAGAAATCCAGCTATGGCCGGATACCTCAGCTTTCATACAGCTGGCGTCGGAACACCCACAGTACACGCAGCGCAAGCCAATTTTGCCATGTTGCCGAAAGACAACTGGCCTTGCTACGTGGTTTGCCCACTGTGAATTGGTGATGACCTTCCACACTTCAGTGAGTCAATCAAGAAAACATGAGTCTGAGCTGGAGAAGTTCCAGGAGAAGCGAAAGGACCTGCATCAAGGTAAGGAAGCTCCGCGTAACCGATCCGAAATACTGGCGGTTGTTGAAAGCCTCAAAGGCCTCGTACTCCTGGCGGTGCACAGCGGATTTACTTGCTTTTGGAGGGGGGGCCGGGGGAAGTCCTGCCAAGGATCGAAGGTGTCATTCCACACGGCTGACTCACCTATCACGTAGTGCCTGGCAATGGGCTCGTGTTGTCTGGCGCGGGACCGTCCATGCAAGTAAACCGCAGAGGTGAATTGAAACATGTAAGACGCGACATGGAACACGATGAAGATGAAGATGTGAACGAATATGAGATGACGTTCTTGCACCCCGCATGCCACACGCGCGGGCCGGCATACAAAACACGATGACATGATCCGCGATCGAAACCCCCAAGAAAACTGTCTGGGGTGGGCGGGGTTGGTGTAACTAGGCAATCCCGAAGCAGAACCCACAACACCTGTCAACACCTCCTGGAAAGGATAAACACGGCTAAGGCACCACCCGAAAGGAACCCCAGGAACCAAGTCTCAGCGAACGAATTGCGAGGATACACCGGAGTGAAGGACACGAAGTTGCTAAGGAGTGCCTGCAACCACATCCCCTAAGGCTGCCACGTTCGATTCCATTGAAGCATGCAAGACATGCCAGACACCAGGAGTGGCATGCAAAAACTTATGATCCGTTGTGTGGTGAGCGACAGACAGGACAAAACCCATGAAAAAACAGAGCAGCAGGACATATGTCATGAGATGACGACAGCTTTTGGTGCGTATATAAGCACGCCAGACACCAGGAGTGGCATTCAAAAACTTACGATCCGTTCGGGTAGGATTCTGCCCCGGTGTGCCAGACACAAGGAATGGCACACCAAATGAAATGAAAGGAGTAAAGTGCATCCCCCAGCTGCCCTCGTTGGGACCAGGGCGGATGCATGCAGGTACGTTTTTCCTGGAGTGCAGAGGGGAGCTTCGTTGGACAGAGCCCCTCCGCATACCGCTGTCCCCCAGCAGTTTGGCAAACATCATGTGCAGGTGTGTGTGTGTGTGTGTACACACCCACACACACACCCACACACACACACACACACACACACACGCACGCACACGCACAGGCACACGAACACGAACACACGCCCGTGCGCCGTGCACTTGTTAACACAGGCCAGCAGGGCGCACAGGCCGCGGTACTCCAAATGAAGACGCACAAGATGAGGCAAACCCAGCCTGGCATGGAGTTCAGGAGGCCACCCGGCGCCTCCGGATGGTGCCGCCAAGCTGCCAAGTGTCTTCATTGTTCGCGTTGCGTTTGAGATGAAGGCAAGTAGTTGCGGCGAGGCTGTCATGTACCGTGCGGCACGCGCCAGCCTCGCAGAGAGCTTGGCAGGACGCTCAAGTCATCCCAATGCACTGAATCTACCTGAATCTGACGCAGATTTGCCTCAGGAGCCGCAGGAGGCGAAAGGCTGGCAGCGATCTGGGGGACAGACAGCGCTCTACTACACTGAGAACAGGACACAAGCGCAGAAAGCCAGTTCTTGGCCTGGCCTTGGCTTATATCAACCGTGAAGCTGTGAAGTGAGCATCAGCAAGGCTTCTTGACACGACAGTATAGCAGGAGCACAAATACTTTCATACAGACAACAAAGGCCTCGATGTGCTGTCACAGTCAATCGAGAGGACATTCGAAGGCAGACCAGAATGGATTGAGAACGGGAGCACAGACATAGAGAAATGAGACAATCACACAACCGAAAACCGCAAACAGCTCCCACATGAAGGGAGACAAGGATCGAAAACCCGGGCATTGGCCAACCCGGCTACAAAGTAAGAAACAACAAACTGCTTGGCGTAAAAACGAAGAGACACTTAGGAGTGAAGAGGGAGTTGGGAGTTGGGGAGGGACAAGGATTCTGAGTGACAGAGTTTTTTCGCTCCTACTTGGCAAGGACGAGCCTCCACGGTGCCAGAAATCCCCCACACACTCAACTCTTTCAAATCGAAGTCGCTTCTGTAAGTCGCAAGTCCAAGCGACTGCGTGCAGCAGGCAGATTCCGTGTGCTGTAAAGCGTGCTTAAGCCAGATGTCGTGTTGAAATCCTGACATTAAGGTAGCTTGTAGCTTCTGCGTCAAGCTATCTCACGAGTGGGTGCTGCGGGCATAACCGTGCTAAATCAAACACTCTTCCAGCCAATCCAGCCTCGCCAGGTTGCCCGTGAAGGCGAACTCTTCAACGAAAACCAGCAAAACAAGAATCAGGTCCTGCAGCATGTCTTCTCCAGCAGGCTCGGGCAAAAAATCAATCTCATGAACCAAACAGCTGCATGTCCAGTACGGTGAGTGGGTCTTGGAAAATCCCGAAGCGGTATGTCACGAACCTCAGCAATGCGATACGCACTTCTTGTTCTTTTGGAACATCTCTTCTCATCCATAGCTATACGGCCTCATGCCAAGCTCTCCCATGTATAGGATGAGAAAGGCGTTGTTGGCAGCCTTTGTGGCAGGGAGTGTGTGGTTGCAGTGTCAGCAATCCCCTTTTCGAAGCTGAGACACGATGAAGACAATGGGAATAGTCGCTGCGAGGTCAACCTCCAGGCCTCGGCAGCAAGGGAAACTCAGTCTGGATGTGATCAGAAGCGCGGCGAACCGGCTTCTCTTGCCGCCAAACAACCGATGCAGACTGCATTCACCACAACCTGAGCTGGGTCTGATGATACAGCCAGAGCAGCAGGTCTAATTCTGAATCATTCTCAAGGAGCTACAAGTCCCATGAATAAGACGAACCAAGCCCTCTCCACAACGGGAACCTCAGCGGCGGGAAATGGCGGGACATGGCGGGACCCACGCAACATCACAACAAAGGGGGCAAGCGGCGGCACAAGCATGCAACTACTGTGCCAACCATCAACGGGCCTGGGGCTCACTCTCCGGCTCGACTTTGGCCATGATGATTTGGGTGGTCTGCTCCTTAGCTCCAGTGCTCGGACACCAAGATCAGGTCCTTTGACTCTGGATATGCGAGCTCTTGCCAGGGCACTTGCAGGAGGTCCAGAGTTGAAGAGGATGCACCGAAAGGTCTTCGGGCATCCTGACCATCCTTCGCCTCCAAATTCGGGTCCTCGTTCTCAACTTCCTCTCCTTCCTGGTCAGCTTCGGCTTCATCCTCGAGCTCGAACATCTCCATGAGGCTCGTCTCTCCAGTCCCCTGGCGCCGGAGCTCCGCCTCGAAACCATGATGCGAGATATGACTTCACTTGCAAACCCCGGCAGAACTACACACATGCCAGCAAGAGGCTCCCAGCTGCTTTGAAACCCCATTCCTCAGCGGCCCCCAGATCGCTACACGGAGACAGAACGCAGGGGTCAAAATGCTGGACCAAGCAGCCCCTGGAAGCTGTCCACGGATGTCCTAAGTGGGCATGTGATCACCCGAACCTCCTTTAAGGAAGCTGGTTTATTTCCTCCAAGACACGGATCAATCTGAACCCACCCTGGGGGCAGTGTGGCCATCCTCACCCATGTTTCACCAGGTCTTGAACCAACGGCCGCGAAAGCCTCCCCCAACGGCCCAATGATTCTGCATCACATTCAATGTCACAGCCGTGAAGTACTGTTATTATTCCTCTTATCTCAGATCGAAACCCTTTTCGCTGAACTGCCATCGACCTCATGTCCATGGACAGCAATCAAACCTGGAAAGGCTGCTATGCGTGACACGCGAAATCCACGCACGAAGCCCGGCCCGGCTACTCGGAAACAGCTACGTGCAGCCTGTGCGTTGCTGCAGGCAGCTGTGCATTTGTAAGAACGCTGTGGCATGATGGCTTTACTCATGCCTCTGTCAAGTGTTACCATGTACTGTACTAACTTGAAATCCAGAGCGCATCTGGTGCTTCGATTCCGTTCAACGATATCTCGACGGCGACAGTCATATGGAGTGTCGCAAGCCGACTGACCAGTTCAAGGGTGTAGTCAGGAGGCTGGCACAGCCTGAGTCGCGCCGCCTGTCACGTAGCAAATGGATGCACCGAAGGAAGCAGCCTCTACAAACATCAAGTAGCTGCCTGTCATGTTACAAGTACTACGTACACCGGCCTGGCAAATCGTGTCGCTCAGCTTGCAGCTCGGCTTGCTGCTCCGACTGTGCTTCTGCAGATCGCTGGGAAGCTAAGCTGGCAACCACCAACCTTGCGGCCCGTAAAGGCACCAGCGTGGTCGCCACCGTGAGGCCAGCAACCGTTGAAGCTACCGCAGGGAGAACATCTCGTCCAAGCCTAGGAGGCTGAGAAGCCGTCTCCGAAGATCTCTCACCTGTGAAATATCCGAAAGCCGTCTGAATCTCTTCGCGCCCAGTCTGAAAGTCTTGAAGGACCTGCTGCTTGAAATGCTGGACATCGCTGCCAGCTTCCATGTCGGCACTGGCCACTGGCACCGATGTCTCCGGTACCGGCACCGATGTCTCCGGTACCGGCATGTTGGCCGCAGCAGCCACACTTCGAGCAGCCAGGCGCGTACCGTGCAGCGGTATCAGTCGTGCGGAGGCACAGACACCTGCTGTGAATCCTGCGACTTTGCCACACACATTCAAGGCCGGATGCTGCTCACCACTGGATCTGAATGCCTCCTGCATATCCCGCCGATTCATCTGGAAATCGCTGACCACTTGCTCTTTGAAGCATGACCAGCCGGAGGTGAAGGGACCTTCGGCACCCGTCGGATCGGCCGGAGCCATGGTAGGCTCGACGGGCTGCTCGGCGTGCTCCCCTTCCACCAACGCGGGCTCGGGAGCTTCCTCTGGCGGCTCGAGGCTTAGCCGCAGCAGCCCGTCTTGGAAGGCCAACGACAAGGCATCACTGAAGTTGTTCTGAGTCAGCAGCACAGCAGTGCCATCACCATCCTGGTAGCGAATGCCGCACCGATGCGTCTCCGACAAGTCGAAAAGGCTGAGAGCTGCGTCAACGAGCCCCGGGAAACTGGGCTCATCCTCACCTGGCCAATCCCGAAGCCGACGGACCTCTTCCTGGTAGGACACCTTCAGCGTTAGCTTGTTTGCTGCCATGACCCAGGCAAGTATCTGGGACTGATCCGGGTGGGCTGGAGTTGAAAAGGCTGCATACAACAAGCGCACACCAGCAATTGCTACACGCTTTCTGTGCTTCATCTGCTGCGCCTAGAGAAATTCCAATGTCCAGCATGCTCGTGCCCCAAGCCTGTCAGTTGAAGCAATTCCACAAGCGACGGAATGGTTCGTCGTACCTTCTCGTCACTTCCCCCGGGCACTGCTTTCGGCATCCACCTTGCTTTCCGAAAGCAGCAAAGACCGACACCGAGGATGCGCTTCGCTGTTTTTTGGAAAGTCTCACAATTTAGGTTGATTGTACACGGGGAGCGTGGCGGCAGGACAGATGAAGGTAAAGAGGAAACAGACACATAGAGCCGGGGAGAATGCAGGCACTGGGGCTAAGCAGGTGACGCAAAAGGAGGATGGGTGACTGAGTGAAACAAGCTTCCATGGCAGCGGCGGAAACACGTGCCCTGCCTTTGTGAATGGCTTCGGAAGAGCTAGGCAGCAGCTAGGCAGCTGCAGCTAGGTGTCAAGTGAGATGATAAGTGAAATGCACAGGTCCGGCACGCCGAAAGCTTGCACGCCCAGTATCCGCAAAGGTCCGAGCTTGCTGAGATACACCGTGCTCGTTGGGAACAGGGGGCCCTCGACAGGATCTCGAATACACAACAGCAAAGAACAATGTATGAGTATGACTCCAGTGTGACTGTATGTACTGAATATGCTGTGGCCCCCCGCCTGCACGGCGCCCATCACGGCCATCACGCACCACAACCCGGACCTGCTACAGCTTCGTCGGGGTCCAGCTACTGCGATCAGCAGTGGTACACGGAGGCGCACAAGCCAAGGGCATCCACAGCCACAGGAAGCATCAAGCCTGGAACCCATACAAAGGATTGCCGTCTCTCCAGCTCAGCACAAGCTGAATCAGACTGAGAGCTTGACAACATAGAGCACTCAACATCATAGCTGTCGTCATGACCTGTGTCATGCAGTCGCAGGCCGAAACCCCATGTAAGGCCACAAGGCGCTTACGTTTTTGGCTCCAAGCCAATCAGCTAGCACGGCGCCTGGAACCTGCAAAGACAAAACAGCTGTGACCCATGTTGCACGAAGAATCACTGTAGCCTGCGTGAAGAAGTATCCGGCGGCTATGGCCGATAACCTGAAAGAGTGACGCCAAGGCAAGCAGAATAAACACCAACAAACGACGCAGTGAATCACATGTGGCTGGATGACTGAGACGGCTACAAATTTCCCTTCTGCGATGTTGTTATGTCCATCTCTGCCGCCATAAACACAAGCAGAGGAGATAAAGCATTGCCTGGAGCAGCAGCATCCATGACCACCGAGGTCTGTGCCGACAGAACTATGACTGGGATTCCTGCGCATGGACTGCTGCACAAGGCGGGTCCCTAACCTGAGCATCGCAGCCCAAACAAATTAAGGCACGGCCGCAAACATGGTCGCAAAACCAGGGTCCAAACAGCAGGATCCCTTGCACTGTGCGTGTCAATACCTTCCAAGCATTGCGAAATAGCCCCGTGTCTGCTAACCCTTGCCAAGAGCTGTCATCAAGATTTCGGCATGATCGTTGAGCTTCGTGCGACACCCTCGAGGAATCCACCACCAGCAGCTGCAGCAGGTTCCTGACGTGCCAATCGAGCAGGGCGCACTCCTGCGCAACTAAACGACAAAATGGTCCTTCCCACTGTCCGACACCTTCTTGGCGTCATCGTGCGGCCTGCGATCATACCGCGGCTGGGCAGGGAAGCGTCGGGCCCGCGCTCCTGGGCGGATAGCCTGGTAGATGGTTGTGCACGTGGCTTTGGCGATGATGCACGCTGCCTGATGTTGGGCGTGCTTCGCGACTCCGCCATTTCCTGCAATTGTATGACTGATGAGGTCTCATCACTGCCAACAACACAGGAAACATACGCACAGAACAGTGCCACAAGTCAACCATTGCTTGCGGACGCACCAAGCTGCTACTGTAGTCGGCAAACCGCCACCAATGCGCCGGAGTTGTGTCTTGTCGCTTTGTTTGAGTGCTGTGCAAACAGCCTTCGCCCATCGCTCGAAGTTTTCATGCACGGTACGGCGACATGCTGTGCCATAGGCGTTGCTGCTTTCGTACTTGTCCCATGACGAGGGTAAATTGATGGCTCGCACCAAATGGCTGCGCAACGGTTTCTTTAGTGTTTCTTGGATCAACTTTGCCACAACGACTCGCTCTGGACGAATCTGCTGTCGACCTCGCTTCGAGTTCAGCACGTCTTTGCCGATCTTGCAAACTGTGCTGGTATTCTTGCGAGCGGGCGTGCAGCAAGCGCTTGCAAGGCAGCCCTGCGAATGGCTGCCACCTAAAATACCGAAGGATCGGAGACTGCACTGACGCTTGCGACAGGAATCGAGCGGCTGGCGTGCAGAATTTGGGGTAGTTCGACAGACAGATTCCCGACGCGCCCGCAAAGGACGCGGAGGGCGTTGGAGCTTCCATCGTCTTCACGCCGATGACTTTCGCCCCTGAAGCCGCTTCGCGAGGTCGGAAATAAAGCGGTCTTTAAAGCCGCTGAGGCTCGCTGAGGAGGGTGTTTCTCCCGACGAGGACGACATTGCTCAGCAGGTCCTTAATGTCAATGGGGTCATCATCTTCGTCTTCCTGTCCAACATGCTGTTGGGGGCTCTTGTTCAGGAGTCGTGAATGGCGTGCCGCCACCGACGTCGGAAGAATGATTCTGCACACTACGGCTTGCACGGATGTATTCAACACGACGTTTGATACGGCAGAAATGGCACACACAACAGCACCCAACGTCCGCTCCGATGATCGGCGCGGCGCCGCTTGGACATCGCGTCGTCTTTGGAGCCGCCGCTGTCACTCGCAGGCCTGCCGCACGACGGAGCCGCATTGCGTTGCTCACGCAGCAGGGCCGAGACGCCGTTACGCGGCCCGTAGCTGCGCCGAAGCGTGGCGTAGGGAGACTCATGCAAAGTACAAGGTTTCAAGCCATTCGTTCATCATTTGGCTTTGCTGAGAGGGATCCCCGGCGACATCAGGCGCAATGCGACAGAAGTTGTTGCGGAACCGAACCGCATCATCTTAGCAGCTGTGCGAAAACAAACTGACCGCAGGTGCTCGACACGATGCGGCCAACATGACATGTACTACATTTTTTCTCACACACACAGACCTATTTTACGTCCGTTCACTCCGCGGTCTCGGTGTCATGCCCAGAGTCCAGGCAGCAGACTACGGCATGCGGCTGGCAGGAGGGGGCTGCTCGGAAAAGTCAGCAAGGACGTCGCTGAGGAGCGGTATGTCTCCATATTCTCCATCAACGTTGGCGGTGCCGGACAGGGGAAGGGAAACTTTCAAGGAGGCTAGCGGCGAAGGTCCGCGCAGGAGCGCAGACCAGCGCAACACAAATGCGGCAGTGCACGCCGCCCGCGCCGTGTCGGGGGAGCGGCACGGGCCCTGCTGTGGTTGGCGACACCGAATCTCGCTGCAGTGAGAAGGAGTGGCAAGCGGAGCCGACGCAGCATGAGAGTTCGGAACAGCGGGGATTCCAGGGTGAGTCAGGCGAAGTGGGCCGTGCAGTGAAGATGCGGGCCGCGAATGGTCCTGCCTGTAGTCAAGCAGGGCGGCGGAGGAGGCATCCAGTTCTCGCAACACGGCTCGCTGGCAGAAGCCGTCGACAGCCTGGGACGCGGCACGCTGCCAGCCACGCGTGTTGTCAAGCTGTGGCTCCTCTTGGGCGAGATGACGCTGCTTTTCTCCATGGAGCAGATCACCCTGTTCGACTCCTTCACCCCTGCTGTTGATGGCGCGTGCGCGCGCCTTGTTGCCTCCAGTAATTGGACGAGCGACCCAGCCACAAGCGCACGAACGGCACGAGCCGATGCCTCGGGAACGTCCGTCAGCTCCCGCAACACCGTTTGTCGGCTCATGCCGTCGTATGCGGCAACGGCATCAACAGACACAACTGTGAGCTGGGGGTCAGCTGCACAACGAGCCTGCGCCTCATGGATCAGAGCCTCGGCCCCGACGCGGCTTCCAAGTGCGTACTAGTGCGGGAGGCACGCTTCCGTAATGGGGGCCGCAAAATGTTGTGCCAATGTGCGGGCGACCAGGCGGCGCAGGAACCCAAGTCTAAGAGCTGGCACAATGTCGTCAGGGACGCAACCCCACGCGGTCGGATGGGCCTGGAGCAGCTCCTTTGCGCGCACGGCGGAGGTTGGCAACGGTCAAGCACGACCGGCACAGGAGGATCCCATGTAGCAAGATCGGGGTCAAGAGGGGGTGTAAGGTTCGGGGTGGCGCCGCTCAGCATTGGACAGTGCTTCGAACGTGTTTTGGGTGGGTGGGGCTAACGGGTCTGCCAAGGAAGCTGGCCGACAGTTCACGAAGCTGGGCTAAATGCGTGGGACGGTGAGCACGCGCTTCAGCATCGGGCACGAGAGTGGTGGCTTTGCGGCCACGGTTGTGATTAGGCCTCGTCACGCAACGGCACCCACTCCCTGCGCAGGAAAAGTTGGAAGCGGGCAAGCAGAAGTCCGATGCTTCGCCGGGGACGGTGAAGCAACATGCGAGGGGCGAAACGGCGAAAAGCAGGAGTTTGCAGGCCCGGTTCTAGTCCGCTGCAGCGAACGAACCACACGCACACACGATCAAGTCAAAGGCAAACCGCAAGCACTGACGCAAACCGCCTGTGCAGAACGGAACAGGCAACACGGCTGCGCCAGAACATCCTCGGCTGAGGGTAGCCAAGGAAGCACGGAAATGTAGCAGCTCCGATACCGAGCGTTTACCCATGTTGACATGCAGCAAGGCCGCCTGCACGGTGGCGGGTATGTACCCATCGGGCATCGTCACAAGTTGCCACGCCCGAACCAAGTGCACAGATGTGTTGCTGGGCAGGACATTACCTTCAGCAGCGATAGCGAGCAACAGTTGTGCTTCAGGCAAAAGAGCGCACGCCGTTCTTCGGTTGTTAGCTGCTGCAAAGTATGCACGGCATGCACCAACGTGGCGGGTTGCATAGAGGGGGGCTTGGCGAAGGAATTTTTTTTTTTTTTTTACGTCAAGGGCGCGCTGCCACAGCACTCCAAGCACTAAGTGCGTCGGGTTGGAGCCGACCGACTGCAGCGTGCAGCAAGGGTACAAAAAGCCAACTGTGCGTGCGTCCATTTGCGAGCGTGTCTGGGGGGCGGCACCAGGCTGCGTTGGCCGGCGTGGCGCTTGGACGAGCTGATAGGCGCGAGGCAGGATTTCCCATGGCGGTTGGTGCTTCGGGGAGTGGAACACGCTGGCCAGGGCAGGGAACTTCTGGAAGGGATCCACGGAAGCAGACCCATCCGCGGATGAATTCGCGCGAATCCAATGCCAGCCGGCGGGGGCCATGTGTAGGGCAAACAGGCGCAGCTGGCATGCCCTGCTCGTCAACGGTGCAGTTGCAACGCATGCAAACCCATTCAAGTGTCCAACGCCCGGATTGCCGAGAGCGCACGCGTGCCAAATGCATGTAGCGATCCGGCAAGTCTAGCAAGGCACCATCCGACGCCGCAGTACAATCGCGGGCAACAAACCGGAAGGATGTGGGGGGGGCTAGGCGCAATTGATGCGCAGTGGTGTCCTGATCCGGGGCTGGCTGTGGCGCGAGGACACCATGCGCACGGCATGCGTTGGTAAACACATCAGTGGCTTGGGGTGGCCACGGCACACGGCAAGTGGGGCAACGCAACTCCCGGACATTCCAGTAAGGTGCAACGCATGTCCGCATGAGGGTGGAACGGCGTCTCTGGGCCAGGAGGGTGCGAAGAAAAATCACACAGACAAACCGGGCATGCATCTGTTGATGGGCATGCGGGCGGCGACGGCGCGTCATTGCCCAGTAACCACGAGGGTGTGGAAGGCGCCGCAGTGGGGGTGCTCAAGTGGGGAGAGTCGGGCACCGCAACGCAGCATGGAGCCCTAGAATGGTCGCGACGGGTGTGGCTTCTCCAGGCAAATAATGGGGGGCGTGTTGGGGACCTAAACACCCAAAACAAACACATACAAACACCGAACCCAAAACCAGCCTACCCGCAGGGTCGCCCGGGCGGTGCGGGTCAAGGCAAAAACGGCAATGCGACGGCCAGGTGCAGGCTGCGGAGATGATGAGATTGCGCAGCGTGTGGGTGGGCTGATTCATGCTGATTCCAAGGCTAGTGCCACGGACGAGGGGGAGGAAGCGCGGAGCCGGGCTGTCTCGACCCAAGGAACTGGATGCACTCAAAGCAGAGCCAGGCAATTCTCCGGGAGCAACTGGCCGCTGGCACGGCGCAATGGCACACGAATTGGCCTCAACAAGCTCGGGGGCCTCACCACAAACCTCTGATTGTTGTTCCTCTGGAGCCAAAAAGGGCAACCTGAACCAAAATGGCAACCGCATTGTAACGGCACGGCAGCGCGAAATGCATAGCATGACTCAGCGTTGCAATTTCGACGACGCACGCAGAATCAAAGCGCAAAACATGCATCATTCGACCACGACGGTTGCACAGCTTCGGATCAGCATTCCACATCATTTCCCGCCGACCTCGCTCCCGAGCACAACGAGCATCATTTCCGACAACTCATCCTGCAGCCATTCAGAATTTCCTGAGAGTGCCGAGCCCCTCGTTGCACCGCTGTTGGGCGCGGATCGGCTTACATTTGTATTGATTTCTGTTCCCGAGCAGTTGCGAACAGCATGACACGCACAAATGAGGCACTGGCATCGAAGCATGGCCCCGCAGGATGACGCCAAGGTCACGTGATATCGTGACTCAAGCACCTATGAAAGGCACAGAGAAGTGCGAACGGTTCGTTGTCCAACCATGCCCAACGTACCCCTAA